GTCTTCTTTGCCCTGGAACACAAGCTCGCAGTTGCCCGACAGAAAGATACCAGTGCATTGATGTTGCAGTTAGGATTGAAGTCTTCCTGGTCAGCTCCTGGAAATGAGATCGGAGGAGCAGGCATCTTTGTTCGGAGGCATCTAGATGCGTGGAGTAACCCTGCCAGTGGATCAACGGCTGCGCCTAGGCATTTGGCACATTGCTTCTTGAGGACCTCGGGCCTGGGGATTATCGGGCTATGATCTGTGTGCTTCCAGGACTCCGCGAAGGTCTCGGGAGTTAATATCCAAGTCTTGGGCCGACTAGGGGAACGCGTGCATTCGCATGGGGCCCCCTCTGTCTGCGGTGGCGATTGGAACGTGGGCCCCGGCGAGCTGCGCACAGGGTTCCCGCGAGCTAAAATTCACGATGGGCTGAGGTTTGACCCCGCTGTGGAGTCTCATGTATTTGGCGGAGGAGAAGGGCCCGGCAACCTCGACGTCGACCTCCTCAGCCTCTCGCTCGGCGCAGTCGCGTCCGACGCATCAGTGGAGATGGGCAGCGCGTTAGTCCCTGCCCCCCCCCCCCCCCCACACTGGCCTGCCAGGTTCACTTTGTCTCGAGCTGTTCAGGACCTAGCACGCCGCGGTTCCCATCGAGCCAGCATTGGGCCTGATTTTGGGAAGGTGATGACGAATGAATTGAGCGCAGCCAGCATGCATTCTCTTGTGAGAAGCCTGGTTCACCCAGGACATTCTCACTTAATCGCACACCTTTAAACAGTCATTGAAAATCGTGGAGAGCCCACTGAGATGCCGAGCGGCTGCAGTGAAGTCGCGACGCGCCGCGCTTTGAGGGGTTTGGGGATAGGGGGGCCAGACGGGCCCCCCGATGCGAATAACCTCTTCGTGTGTCCGACGATCTAGCAGAGTAGCAACCCAGCCCGCTCGGGGCAGCTCGGGGATGACTTGGTCGAAGCAGGAGCCGTCCACGAAGATTGCGCCAGGAAACGAGGTTTCGAAGTCGAGGTGCTCGAAGCCCGGGCATAGCCCGGTAACGGCTCCATCGGTATACGTAGGCTGAGGATGTGTTTTGTTTCGCTTGGATGCTCGAAAACTCCAAAGGAAGCTAGAACGCGGTCGGCTTTCTCGGCCAATTCGCGCACCTCAGAGGAGATGGGGGAGGCACGGGCCTCCTCGCATGCAGAACATTTCCATAATCTGTGCCTAGGGGGGTCGTCGGCTACCCCGCGCAGATCGCGCGCGGTCGAGATCCTGCACCCGAGCCCTCGAGCGCGAGATCGGGTATGGATCGCATGGCAGAACAACGATCGGATGCGCCCCTTCTCGAACGGAGTCTTCTTCTTGCTGTGAAGCCACGGCGAGATACCGTCACCACAGGCACGGCCATCATTGAGCCTAGCTCCAAGATCCCACTCGAGCGTTTTAGTTCTAGTGACCGCCCACTTCAAAAGGGACCTAACCATGGCAGGCGAGACTTCCGTCATGTGAACATCAATGCCGCAACCATTGTGGAGCACAGTGAAAGACGGCATGGACCACAATATTCTCTCGAGAGACTTCCTCATAGCGCAGATCGGGTCCGAAACCAACCTTCGTAACCCAGGGCCCCTGGAGAACGCAGCATTCCAAGCCGAACGCAGCGCGGCGAACGAGGTGGAAAAAAAGGGTAAAGCCCGGGGTGCGCGTTCCAGACTTCTTTGGCCCAACTCGCGATCGGGGCCACAGCGGCGCTCCAAGTGGGGTTCGCCGTGGCGCAGGAGGAGCGCGGTCAAACTCCTTCCTTGCGCCGATGGCTTCGTAGCCCTGCCTGCAAGCCGCCGCAGCTGCAGGCGTTCAAAGTCCGAAATGCCGCCAACGTCGCGCCCGCAGGTGGCGCCTGGGAGGGGGCCAGCCGAGAAACAATTCTTGCACCGCTGCCCGCCAATGGTGGGTCGAAGCCTCACAAGCCGCGCAGCGCGGTCCGTAGTTTTTTTTTTTTTTTTTGTTTCTCCTCATTTTTTTTCATTTTTTTTCATGCGCTGCTTGGCCTTCGACGACCTGCCCCGGCACCGACCCGGCCTGCCGGCGGCGTTGTCGACGCCTGAGTTCGCGGCCGAGGACGCGCCCACCACGGGCCCCGCAAGACTTCCAAGGGCCCTAGCCAGGCCCTTGCCAAGCGAACGATTAGAGTAGACCAGCGCCAACTTGTCAGGGCTGACCTGGGCCCCCACCCCTTCCACAAAAGCCGCGTGCAGTGCGCGCGCAGCAGGCGGGGGGTGGGTGGGGATGTATCTGGACGTGCCGATGGCCGAAAGCCCTGAGTCATCAATCTACATCTCAAGCTGGATATGATCAGGAAGCTCCAGAGAGCTTAGGGACAGAATGGAGTTCACCCAAGTGAAAGTCGCAGCGATGGAACACCCCGCGATGATCCTGCATCGAGCCCAGCAGGCGCCGTCGATGATGCCTCCGTGGGAGAGAAGCCTAGCCCGAGAGTGCAGAGCAATACACAGGTACG